ATTAAATCCCCATGAGAAATATTAAAAACTAATGCAATACAGAAATTTCAAAGTTAAGGCATGACCATTGGTCAGCAAAATGCTCATTGGCTCAGCGGGATCAGAAAAAAAGAGGTGGAGAAGAAAAGAGCATGTTAACTGCAAAATAATTAATAATTAATGTGAAGAATTAGGTGTGAAACCATCAGGAACCTTTTAGTCTCCAGTGCCACTATTTTCCAGAACTGCAACCTTGAGTGTCCAGAATTACAAGGTGACAGGTTCTCAGAGACTTTGCTTGGGTAAAAAGATCCTAAAAAATGACCCCTACTTAATAAGAATAACATTCTGAAGTGTTGTGAAATACATGAAGACTATTTTTATAGGCTTTATTGACAGATAAGTTGAGAGTGACTCTTGAAGGACCAGCACCACATCCTCTTGTACCACTGTTAGAAGAATTTATCTTCCAGAATCTGGCAGTAAGTTTTAGGAGCTAATTTTTGTCAGTCTCGGGATAGGAGATGGACTAAAAATGAACTCCCAAAACTTACTGCAACATGGAGCTAAGGAGAAAATGTAGAACTTAACCAATTGGAAAACAGCTTAGTGAAAAGCTTTTACGGTTTAAAAGCTAATAGAAAGTCCTATGATATCAAATAAATGGTGCTTTAAAAAATCCTTGAATCTGGTGTTCATGAAAGAGTGGGAACTCTGATTTAAGAATTTGACACAAAATATGGTGCATACATTTAATTAGGTTCTAAAAAATTGTCCTTATAAAGGTAAAAATGCCCATAAAAGGTATCACCCTCAGTTTGAAATCTTCAATCAACTCTCCATTTATTTTATTTACACTGAAAAGAATGAACAGTACATTCTTCAAAATGTCTCCTTTTGTGTTCTAGAACCCAAGAAATTAGGTCATACAGGTTTGGAACAACATTAGAGGAAGTGATGAGAGTTTTCATTTATGGATGAACAAATATTTAATGAGTAAGATTAGATATTGTTTTTGTTTGCATGAGAACATTGAGGGGAGAGAGACAGCTAAAGAAATATAGGGGGGAAAGGAAGTAGGACAGAGATTGGCAGAGAATGGCAAATTAGAAAGAAAAGGAAGAGTATTACAGCAAATAAGGAGAAATGTGAGGTAGAAATTGTGTGGATTGGAACATTGTAAAACTGTACCAAGCTGTGTTCAGACAGCACTGATTAAATGGAAAGTGCTCATGAGGCTGAAAAAACAAGCAAGGTGTTCCCCAGGGTTCTGTACTCCGGATTCCCCAAGTTTGCTTTTCTGCTCAACCTAAAGCTCACTGTCAAAACTCACTAAATTGAGAGTGGTTTCCTATTTCTTCATAAAAATCATACCAAAACAAATGCAAATAAATATATTTTGGGGGGAAAAAATCATACCAAAACAGTGGCATAAACTATTTGAGCAACTGTACTTCTTTACTAAAGATGTACTGTTTTGTGAAATGTTCTTTATTACAGAATCTGAATATTTGTGCTCTTCAATTTCTTTCATAATATCACTAAGACCTTCAGAGTACAAATAGCAGGTCTTCATGACTTAAATAATTTATTTTCTCTTTTTTTTCATTTTACTGAAATATTCCAATCCAATGAATAACAGGTTACTTTACAAAACGTAATTGTGCATTAAACTAACATCAAAATGAAAATATCCACTCTAGAAGATCACCACACTAACACACTGTCAAAAATTACAAACTCTTAACCATGTTAGCAGTCCAAGAACACATATGGCAATTGAATCTGGGAAACTTTAGGACATTCTCTCACCAAGGACAGCCAGAACTGAAAAACAATTAGATTTTACGATCATCTCAGTCAAGAACATAGAGGCATGGGGGAAGCGTTAGGTCACTGCATGCTCAGGGATGCTGCAGGATCAACTCCATTTGCCTATTACACTGATGTGCGGTGCTCTTGTGCGTGCACAACTGCACAGAGAGAGGTCTGTAGATATCAGAAAAGCAACAAGTTCTCAAGTCTGTACTAAATAGGTGTAAGCTACAAGTTCTGCATCCATTTAAAAACAATGATGCTCTGGACATTGTCCTGGAGGGCTACGCACTTTGGCTGAGGACAGGGAACATTACTCACATTCTGGATCTCAAACAAACAGAACCAAGAACCCAGGCTGGGATGAGTCACATGAACGCTGCCTCCTCTCTCCGCTCTATCGACGGTGCCTGACACTGACATCATCAGCTTCGTTGCCATCTGTCAATTACCCTATGCCACATCCTGCTCACTTGAACTAAGACAGCCTATTCGAGCACTGAAAGTACTGAACTTGGTTATGGGCAGCACCCAAATACAGATTACAGTCTTGTGGGGTGTAGCAGCAGCACCAACTTCTCAAGAGGCTCCTACTGTCGCAAATGCAAAATCTAAACAAGAAGAAATTGCATTTCAAATAAGAGAGTGTCACAAATAAAGTTTCAAAAGTTTCAATTACAGCCATGCAAACAGAAAGTGATATTAACATTTTACATCACATTGCAACAACAGTAACTAGCAAGTGCTGTGTTTTATATCAATCCTACGTACGGAGTCTAATAACTAGACACCCCTCTTAGTCACTGGCCCTGCTGTCTTGCTCCGTAATCCTTCTACCTAATAGAGCTGAAGATAATTGTCTGACCTTCACTGCAAAGCACTGATGTAGAGTCATTGCTGCATTATTCCGTAACACTGGATCAATGATTATCTTAAGCATTAGTAAACCCAAGACCCAAAGGGCATTTGAGTGTTTCAAACATGTCAGGCTATTAATCCAACCTCTTGACATCTCCTTTTCTTCCGAAATCCTTGTAAGCTCTTAGAAAGTTAGTAAATATGGTATCCCATGTCATTCATCTCTTTGAAGTCATTGTCTATGCTTTATTATTGCAAAATGGAATTGTTTCAGGTCAACCTTTAGGTAACAATGGCCTTGCTGTTTACATACTGTAACAACCATGCTGTGGGAAAACGGCCACTGGCTCTTTTCATTTTACTGCATTTTGTGTTAAAGGGGACTAAAATGCTTCCATCCAAGAAAAAGAGTCCAAATATCTATGGTTATGTTAAGTAATGACCAGTTTAGTGACATACAAAATCCTATCTGATCTGAAAAACCCAATGTTTTTGACCCTATGTGGATGACCGACAAGTAAACGGCATTTAAAAATATGAAGGTTTATAATAACATCAATTTATGGCAAAATCACAATTCCACTACAGGCACGACAGCATTTGTCTTGTGATTAATTTCACAGGTGAGGATGTTTGAATCCCGTAGGTAATCTCATATCTGTGAAATATCAATTCATGGGTTTAACTTCAAGGATTTAAGGCACAACAGAAAGATCTGTAATCCTGACCAGTGGGCTCAGAGGGGGGGGGCGGGACGGACAATGCACAAAGCAAATAATAAAATGTGATTAACCTTCTAAAAGAAGTTTCTAAAAGAGATGAGAAAATGTTGATATCAATTTCTATATGTTCAGTCAAACTTTTGCTTTGTGTTTACCAGAATCTGTCCAGATGTCAACACAGCTACCCTCATTCTCAAAACATAATATTAAAATGTTTCAATGTTTGATTTTAAGAAAAGTTGCTATTCAGTTTACTATAGACAGTTATGGTCGAGTGTTGGGTTGCCACATCTGGGTCCTGAAGCAAAACCAGTTGAGACTGGGCTTCTACACCCTAGTGCATCCTGTAATCTGTAACTGGTTGTAGGTTCAAACCCCACGAGGATCCATAAAGTACCACAATTGTGTCCTTGATAAAGTCACAAACCCTCAAGCATCTCCGAGAGAACTGAACGTGCTGTTGTTTACATGGAGACGGTCGATCGCACTCTATTCCACAATCTGAATTCTTGTAACAGTTTCGTTTGAAAAGACAAGATTGAGTACGATTTACACTACCAAACTCTTGACAACTGACAGGTGTGTTTCTGCTATTACCTTAATGATGCTGCTCCTCCTCGGTGCCGTTTTCACAGACTCTAGGAGAGCCGCCTCGTCGCGCTCCACCAGTGGCACGCTGACTCCACTCCGCCGGCCTGATCGAATCGCTCTCGGTGGGATGAAGTCCGGAGCTCCATCCCCGCACAATCTGTCCTCGTAAGACTCCGACATCTCCAGGATTAGATGGTTAGGAAATCAATATAATTTTAAACTATATTTGGACCCAAGAACATCCACATCCGATTATTAATATGGGTCTTTGGGTAGCTCCGGTAGTCCAATTTAACTTAATTGCGCAGATTCTACGGCAGGTTGAGAATGGATCTTGTTCCTTGAGCCCATCCTAAAGCAACTTTTGCCACTCACACAGCTCGAAGAAGAAATGATATGTATAACTGGCTCATTAATCATTCTCTTGCGCAAGAGGACACTTGCATCACCGCGCAACAAGTTAAAAACCACCGCCGGTTCCTAACTTCTCTCATTGATCCAGTGCGCGTCAAACAATCTGTATGTAACACGTGCAGAAATGCACAATTGTTCACAGATATGCAGGAGAGCGGAGGGATTGCGGGTCACCAAATACTATCGGGCATCAAAACAACCCCAAATGTGCGCATTCTGTCTCAGCATGATGGAAAAGAAACGCCGGAGTACTGGTTGTGGACGTTGCTCGCCTCATCTCACTGTGTGTTGTTTGGTTAGACAAGAATGAGAAATGACACTGGCACAACCTCTTAGATCCGCTAAGCCCGCCCCTCGCGTCCGTAAAGCTCGTGATTGACGGGTGTAGTGACCAATCAGACATTCTGAATTTTCACAAACTTTAAACGCTCGTCTTTCAAAGAGGAGGAGCCAATGCGTATGAGCTTCAGGAATGTTACTCATTTGAGTTTACCAGATGTTTGAGAGAAATTAAGCTTGGGGTATCACTTTTCCGAAGGGGGGGGGTCCGGTTCGATTCAAAATAGAGTGAGACATGTTAAAGAGTTGTTTTTACGTGACAAGCAAAAAAAAAAAAATCCAAAACCTTGAAAAACAAACAATGTATCAAAATATAAATTAAACTAAACAGCAGGGTTATTATATTTAACTAAAAATAACACCATAAAAAATCCATTACTTGAAATAAAATAAACGTTTACTTATATATAAAAATACATAATATATTATATATATATATATATATATATATATATATATTATATATAAAAAACCTACACTTGTTAAGGCAACGTTTCTCATTTTTATTAACTTGATGTAGGCTAGTAAAATAACAAAACTGAAATAAAATGAATAGAAATTATATAGAGACAACTTTGACTACAATCAAAATGAAAACGTAAAAACATATAAAAATAAACACTATTCAAAACATTACACTTCTAAGCAGATACATGAATAATAAAAAAGTAAATGTAAAGTAAAATAAAATACATACTTCATAAAACAAAAATTCATACTTAATGGCATACTTAATCTTCATAAATATTAACAAAAAATAACAATAAACACACACACACACACACACACATATATATATATATATATATATATATATATATATATATATAAATCAATGAAAACCAAGTATACTGGCAGTCTCTGAGTCTCTAAAGGTTAAAATGTGATTTTAATATTTGTCAATGACCGTCCCTGACAAAATAAGTGTCTTTCAAATCCTTATAGCAGCTATAGCATATGCTATATGAATATTTCCACTATTAGATGTTGCCTATTTGTTGAAGACAGGCAGGACCACACTGACATGAGGCCTTTAACACTTAAATGAGGAATGTAATCCTAAATGATATCTGGACTGTCCTCTGTGTGCCTGATGTGTGTGTAGAACACATGACAAAGGCATGTGAATATGGTTCAGAAAACTCACAGAGAAATGTAGATTAAAAAAACATTGTGAAAACCTTGTGATGAGCCAATTGCTCATGAGGGCTTGCTCAAGATGCGAGTCCTCTGTGAAAAGTAGACAGAACCCGAGGGTCATTAGCATAGGGCTAAGAACTCTAACACCTCTCTGCAGCTTTTTCCCTTGCGTCAGGTTGTCATGGTTAAACTAAACCCTCTGTATGGAAGGGTGTCATTAAAAAGAGCTCTAATATGCACTTTAAGGCTGATTAGTGTTTTAACATCATACTTTACTTTGCCACACCTTAAATGTTTAGCACACTGGGTGGTAAAGGAAGGTTATGAAATGGAAACGTTGGACAAGAAATACAAGTGTGTAAAAATGGAGTTTGTTTTAGTCAGCCTGTTCAGCCAAAAGTAGACATTGGTGTAAGATGTTGAATGTGTGTGTGTGTGTGTGTGTGTCTGAGTTAACAGGGGCAAAGAGGTTTGAAAACTAAATCTTCCCATTTCAAAGCAAGTTTACACCCAACTCCACAACTTTTGCCACATTCTATTTATGTTACCTCTTAGAAAATGTGGCAGTGTCCATTTAATATGAATTAGCCTTCTGAGCAAAATATATGGAGTATTTCTGTGAAAAAAGCTTAATATTCTCAATCAGCAACAAAGTTTGTTGTAACAAAGTATCTGTTTTTCTGTCATTTGTTTAAATTGTAGAACCAGGTTAACACAGCAAAATGATATGAATAAGGTTAGATTTGTGTCCACTATAATAACTGAAATGTATGTGCATGCATATCTTGAAATATTCCAAAACATACAGTAGTATTCACGGAAGTGTGATCATAAATAGTTTTTAAATAGCCCTCATGTGTATCACGCCCTCAAGTGTCTGACGTGAAGTACTACAACGATATAAGAACCTTAACATTAACTACGTCAAACGTCAGTAAGAAAATAGCATACAGAGTTTACTTTGAAAATATGGCTCATCTTATATGCTTCTGTGATTTAGGATCCCTAAATAAATTGTTTACCCAGTAGCTGTCTTGTAAACTACGTTTAAAATGTTTCAATGTTTTTTACTTTATGTAAGTGAATTGTATTAAAGCAAAAGGAGCCCCTACCAAGTATTGAGTACATGTACAGTAAATGAACATACTTTCCAGAAGGCCAACAATTCACTAAAAATGTTTTTTTTATTGGTCTTATGAAGTATTCTAATTTGTTGAGATTGTGAATTGGTGGGTTTTTGTTAAATGTGAGCCAAAATCATCACAATTAAAAGAACCAAAGACTTAAACTACTTCAGTCTGTGTGCATTGAATTTATTTAATACACAAGTTTCACAATTTGAGTTGAATTACTGAAATAAATGAACTTTTCCACGACATTCTAATTTATTGAGATGCACCTGTAGACTCAAGAGCTTGTTATTGCCCGAGAGCGCAAGCGAGTGTGAGAGGTGACAGATGTGTGTCAGGGTCGTGTTGCTCTTATCTCAGCGTCCTTCACTCCTCAGCTCCCTGGTCGGTGTAGAACGAGAAAACAGCATGTCCAGGGAGTATTTGTATCACAAGTATTTTATTGCTTCAATTGTATTTAAAAAAAAAAAAAAAAGTCAAAATCAAATGTTCAGTTTTTATGAGAGGTTTTGAACAAAAGTGCTCAATGCACTTTTAGAAGGTTGAAAAGTTTTTTGAAGGCCACATTATCTGAAACAATCTTTATTGTATTATTGCTTCTTATCATTTAAAATGTTTCAACACAGAATCTTAGTTTCTATCAGCACTGTTTATTTCCGTCTGTCATTTCCATCTGCACTCTACATCTCTTCACATTCAAAACTGAATTGCTTTTCTCGTGTTGGATCAAAGTGTTTAAAACGCTCTCAAGAGCTTCACTGAAAGTAATGAAAAGAGTAGGGTCATCTGGTTACAAACACTTACAGTTTTACAAGATTTTCACAATTTAAAAACTTTAAATTTGCATTATTGTGTTTATAACATGTTTATAACTTTATGCTCATATATATATATATATATATATATATATATAATACAAATTTAGCTTATAACTTTGTTTGAACAGGTGTTTCTAGTCAGTTTCAAGTCACGTTATAGAATTTTCATCCCTGCTTTACATTGTCAAAGTGAAATAATAAAGTTATTCATATGAATTATGGTTTGGGAATGAAAAACGACTACTACATCCCATTCTTTAATAAAGTAATTATTAAATATTACAAATGTATATATATATATATAATTTGATTATGTATTTATATATACAGTATATACATACACAAACACACACATTCTTTTTATTATTAATAATAATTTATTTGAATTATTTATCACAGTCAGAGTACCACTCTCTAGTAAATGTGTCATCTTACTGACCAGGATGAGTGGAAAAGATTCACAACAAATTCTATTACACAATGAGATGAGTGAAAATTCTAACAGACATGTTTAGAATGACTTTTTGTACCTTTGTATTGAACGCTAGATGGCGCTGTGTCACAAGTATTGAAGAAGAGACTTGTAGCGTTCATTTACAAAACTGATTTGCCTATTCATGAGGCCAACAGTTTAATGGCCTTTGTGTCCTTAAAAAAGTCCTGTTTGAATTAGCATTTTCTGAATGATGAATCAGAGCTAAGCAACCTTAATATTTACTTGTATTATTTCTTGGCAGATTGTTTCTCAATAGTATTAATAATTAGTTTTAGAGATAATGGGGAGAGTTTAACATTTTGTCTTCATTTCAAAATAGTCTACAGCCACCTCAGTAGGGTAGTTGCCATGTCTTGATATAGTGACTTCACTCGTGTAGCTCATTTTTGATTGGTAACGACTCACAATACTCAGTTTCCCTTATATTTTGTAGATCAGTCCTTTTAAATTTCGCCACAAGATGGAATAAGATACAATTCCATCATTAAATCAAACACAAATAAGTGTCAGTTTGAAATAGCCTAAATGTTGAAATCAAACCCTCCATCCATACATTTTCAAAACCGTTTTTCCTATGCTAGGACTCAAACCACAGGGGCCTGCATGTTGTGAGGTGACAGTGCTTTGTGCTGCTCTAATGTTGAAAATGATTGTAAAAAGATACAATTGATTCTCATCAGATATGATCTCACTGGAGCTCAGGAATAGATAAATAGGCCGCATTGAGTCCGGATTATGTGTCAGAGTGATTGATGTAGGCCAGTTTAATCTCACAGGAATAGAGGTGGGATTATAAAGTGGAGTGATGTGTATCAGATGACGATGTCTGTATTCATTTTGAGATGAAAATGTGGAGACAGATGAGAAATGAATAGTGAGTGTGATTTTTGGAAAAACTAATTGAAAATAAATAATCAGTGTAAGTGTTTAACATTTGCATACAGTTTTGTGGCAGTTTAACTACCTACCGTATGTTTGTTTCCTTCCTACAGGCATGGGTTTCCTTCCCAGTGTCCTCTGGGTGTGGTCTCAGAATGACAGCGGTTTCCGGTCTAGGACCCAGACTTGGTTTTTCAGTGTTATTTCTGAGCACTGACTAAGAAGCACACGGGCAGACAGATGTGTGGCCTACTGTCGAGATTGAAACTGATGTTTCTGAGCCTGGCATGATAGATACAGTTGGGATGTTCTTTAATTTCTGTGAAAGATTAACAAATACTATATAATTCCAATTTTGGATTTGGCTCTTATAATCTATAAATGCATCAGATGTCTGTTGTTTTACAGGGCAACCCAAGGCCACATAATCTAAAAAGAATTACAGGAAATTTGACACAAACATGTTTTCGAAGGATCAATTTGGGAAAACTATGGAAACTAATCCCTAATCATAACTATTGTGTTCTGAATGGCAAGAGCCAAAACAATAAAGCGGCACACAAAGTCACTAAAATGAGCTGCTTTCAAAAATATGCCGCTTTGTGGCTGGTTACTGAGATTGTTGTTCAGCATGGTGCTCACAGCCAGCAGGTGGGCATTGTTTTCAGCTGTAAGTTTGACAGCTGGTACAGTAGCAAAGTAGAAGCTACTTTGGTAGTTTCATGTTTTGTTTTGTTTTTTTGTTCCGCTTTAGCCTGGGTGAAGTCTGACTCACTCACAGCTGTGTAAAAATAGAGCCACATAATAAAGACATTGAATGATTTGAGTTGTGTCTCTTAGCTTTCCTCTGCTCCCCCCATTTGGAGGCCTCCTTCCTTCCTTCTCTCTCTTTTGTTCTATTTTATTAACAAAATGCTCTTATTTGTTAATGTAAGAGAAAAGGTACTATCTTTGTTTTCTAGCCACAGTGGTGCATGTCTGTTTGCTCTTTAGCCGTATGCTACTTCTAAAATGCACAACCAAGATCCAGATGCCCTGTAAACGCCCCTACATTAGGCCAACATTACAGCTGCAGACATACAGTAAGGCCCACGTGTGACACAACATCTCAATCCCACAAGTCTGTAGTAACTGAAATTCTGAAAGTCAATGGTATAATATACAATAACACTTCAAAAAAACACATCTGATCACTGGCTGTGTTACTGGTTTAAGGAAGGTATAGCATAACAGCTCCGAAATAGATGGAATGGGTTAAATGAATGCCCAAGTGATTAGTAAATTACAGGTGCATCTCAATAAATTAGAATGTCGAGGAAAAGTTCATTTATTTCAGTAATTCAACTCAAATTGTGAAACTCGTGTATTAAATAAATTCAATGCACACAGACTGAAGTAGTTTAAGTCTTTGGTTCTTTTAATTGTGATGATTTTGGCTCACATTTAACAAAAACCCACCAATTCACTATCTCAACAAATTAGAATATGGTGACATGCCAATCAGCTAATCAACTCAAAACACCTGCAAAGGTTTCCTGAGCCTTCAAAATGGTCTCTCAGTTTGGTTCACTAGGCTACACAATCATGGGGAAGACTGCTTATCTGACAGTTGTCCAGAAGACAATCATTGACACCCTTCACAAGGAGGGTAAGCCACAAAGATTCATTGCCAAAGAAGCTGGCTGTTCACAGAGTGCTGTATCCAAGCATGTTAACAGAAAGTTGAGTAGAAGGAAAAAGTGTGGAAGAAAAAGATGCACAACCAACCGAGAGCACCAAAAGTTGGTTAAATGACCATGGTGTTGGTGTGCTTGACTGGCCAGCAAACTCACCAGACCTGAACCCCATAGAGAATCTATGGGGTATTGTCAAGAGGAAAATGAGAAACAAGAGACCAAAAAATGCAGATGAGCTGAAGGCCACTGTCAAAGAAACCTGGGCTTCCATACCACCTCAGCATGCCACAAACTGATCACCTCCATGCCACGCCGAATTGAGGCAGTAATTAAAGCAAAAGGAGCCCCTACCAAGTATTGAGTACATGTACAGTAAATGAAGATACTTTCCAGAAGGCCAACAATTCACTAAAAATGTTTTTTTTATTGGTCTTATGAAGTATTCTAATTTGTTGAGATAGTGAATTGGTGGGTTTTTGTTAAATGTGAGCCAAAATCATCACAGTTAAATACACTGTATTATTTATTTAATACACGAGTTTCACAATTTGAGTTGAATTACTGAAATAAATGAACTTTTCCATGACATTCTAATTTATTGAGATGCACCTGTAAGTATTTTAGACGTAAATTTTTGAAAATTCCCTCTTGCTCTGGCTCATACATATAATTTTCTACTCAGCTCCTCAAATTTTGTATGGCCAACAAGTTTAGCCTACCACTTATTTGAACAGCTGTTTCTAGTGCTACAGTCTTCAGTTAATGTGGTTTTAAGTCACTTTATAGAATTTCCATCCCTGCATAACACCGTGCCAGAAAGTGACCTGAAAGTTATTTGCTTCATTGCTGGTTTTGGTAGGAATTTTCCGCCATGAATCATTGTTGGGGGGTGTAAAAATGACTATTACATCCCATTCTTTAATAAAACAATTATTAAAGATTAAAATGAAAATAAAGGTGTTTTAATAGGTGTTAGGGTTGTCTTTTTTCTTTCTTAATCTCCATATCTCAAAGTATTAATTTGTGTAATACGAATTTGAAAAATGTCCCAAAAACATTAGGAGTCAGTTACCAAAATAACTAAAAGGAACAATAGTAGTACGTTGTCTGTCTGCTGTGTAAACATTTATAATTTATACACACCCCTCCTCCTGTTTAATATTCAGCCCCGCCCTGTTAATCGGTTTCCTTCGCCACGCCCGCTCATTAATTTCAACATGATTCCAGCCCACTACAACTTTTGCTTTATTATTTCGCGGCCACATAGGGAGACTGAATGAGATGTGGTTTTCTGATTGAGATTTTAATGAAGATAATCTGGATTTCTTTATTGCACAACTTCAGAGAGTATTTCATTCTTTTAGTCTCATAAAGACCTCGCAGAAGGATTTGGTGATCTTTGCTTGACTTAAGCCGTTTCCTTAAACGGGATCGGACACACGGCACGTCAATCTCGGTTCAGTGTCACTCCCAAAGGATTAAGTTGTTGGAATATGGAGCAAACCCACTAAGCACGGGAGCGGGAGTCCTCTGAGTGCGTGGCCGAGTGGGTCGCCCCGTGTCCGGCCTTGCGTGTGCTGGAGAGCCCGCAAATATGGGATGTGGATTAAGGAAATTGGAGGACCCGGAGGACAGCAGCCCGGGAAAAATCTACTCCACTTTAAAGAGACCACAGGTCGAGTCCAAAACAGACTCCGTGTACGAGTATGTGCTGCTGGACTTCAGTTTGGAAGGTACAGATCAGTGCAGTAAACAGAAATTTGTATGTGATACCCGCTTACAAAAAAATCCATCAAAATACCAGTTAAGTTATTTTTACTAGGCTATAATGAAACTGCGTTAACTCGTTATTAGTTAACTGTTACAAAATAAACTAAACAACTGACAACTGTTCTGAAAGTTTTTTTTTAGAGTACTAACAATAACTGCAAGTATGTTTTTTTTTTTTATTTAAATTTATTTATTTATTTGCAGAAGATTGCTTAGCTTGGTACATTTTCATTTTGTAAGGGTGTAATGAATAAGAGCTCCAGTTGTTTATTCGGCTGTTTCTCAAAACTTAGCAAGCTGCCTGGCTAGAAAGCAATGGCACGTGCCAATAATGGACAAAAATGCTGCCTAGGTAGGCAGCTCACTATGGTTTGAGCCAATGCCATGTTTTTACTTTCAAACTTGTGGCATGATGAATCTTGGCATGTGTGTCCTGGAGTGTGTGAGCTTATACCGTTTTACCCAGCAACAGCGCCAGAGCTTCATCACATGTGGAAATAGGTCAGGAGGTTTTTCCCTCTATTAACGACGCCGCACAGACTCTGTTCCACAAGATGACATTCAGTCATGCTCACTTCCTCTGTGTAGCAGTTTCCACTATCTCGAATATTCTTGGTTTGAAGGGACCATGCGCAGTCTACTTTGTACTGCCCAGTGCCCATATCCATCGTTTTTGGAATGTATAGTATATTACAGTACAGTATAAAATATAGTGATGTGTAAATTTGCTTGGAGGAGAAGCGGATTGTTTGAAAATTGGTGCGGGTTTCTGTTGCGAACCAGCCTTGAGAGAGAAATGAAAAACCCCGTAGTAACCTGTCCTGGAGTGATTATTTAACACTGTTAGCATGGAGAGGAAACATCAGTCGCTTCGCTCCACTCCACTTTACGGAGCTTCAGATATTTCAGTCTGTGTGTTGAAACTGAAAAATATACAAGCTGTACAATATACAATACAATATAACTCGTCAAAATTCGTTTTACATGTAAATTACTTCATATTCACTTTTGTTTACTGATATCCTGAGATACAAAGCTGCTGAATGCAGATAGGCTGGTGTTCAGTAGCTATATGGGATTCTTGTTGGTCTGATATTTCCTAAACGACTAAAATATAATTTTATGATGGGAAATGAGATGTAGTCTACAGTTTTCCAGTTTAAAAGAAAACTGTACTTTATTTGTTTTGAATGCCATGCAGCTATTTTCATGGCAAAAATACTTGTTGTAACATTTAAAAACGATGTAAGACCCATTTTCCTTAAAATTGCAAGACAACATTTGGATTAACTTGATTAAAAACCTATAGCCCCAGTTTCACAGACAAGGCTTAAAATATGTCAGTGCCATTGTTTTGTCTCAAGATGCATGCCAGTAATGTTTTTTTAATAAGTAATTTTAATAAAAGCTGCTTAAATATTCTAATTTAACTAAGGCCTAGTCCTGGCTTAAGATAAGCTCTGTCTGTGAAACTGGGCCATAATATTTCAACATAGAACATTTTTCTAGAAACAGAGGACTAGAAATATTACAACCCAATAGAATATTTCGCATTTGTCCTGATAGTTAATCGTATCTCCTGAAAGTGTCCTGTCCTGCATAGTATGAAAATGACTCTTAACGGTTATTAAAAGAAAAGTACTTATTGTCCAAACAACAGGCTTGAATAATTTAAACAAATTTAAGCACTCATTCCATTCCGATGATGACCACGTGTTTCTGACACATACATTTAGAGTAGGTTTCAGATCAAATCTGGGACGAGTATGGGGCACTTTTCTGTAGATAATGCTTCTTTGACAGCAACAGAATACAATAGAAATGTAGTATAGAAAAATGTAGGCAAAATTATATACATATCTAGTTGGTAACACGCATTTAAAATTACCGTTTTGTGATGGTAGTGTAGATATGTTCAGTATCCAGGGTAGTACTTGGAATGTGAAGTGTTTTTACAGGGTCACGTGTCTCCACCTGCCCAGGACTCAAATCAATCACTTTAGAAAATTAAGAGGCTAACTATTTGCTGCCTAAAAATGACCTACAGTGGAGATCAAAATTAGAGAACAACCTAAATTTTCCTAAATTTTAAGGTCACTGATTAGTCCTATTTGAAGTTGTCCTAACAGGAGTAGAAGGGCAGGTTTTTTTAAGCATATTTCATAAATTGTACTCTGAAGCACAGTATAAAAAACTTAAATGAGATATTTGAAAAAGAAATTAGAGAACACTTACAGATATATCCAAGTTATTGGTGTTAATCTGGTACCTGGTGCTAATTTCCTTAATTATATGACAATCCCTATTTAACTGGCAGCTTTCCTCTAATTTTCACTGAGATTGCAAGATGGTGAGCCTCTCTAAGGTGACTGAAACCCTGCAACAGCAGGTTGTCCAGATGAAAGCCAAAGGGTTGACCCTTTCAGCCTCTGCAAGAGAAGTTGTTCGTTCCAAATCTGTGATTTCTTGAATATTGCAGCTTTACAATGATTCTAATTCATTCAGTTTCCCCAAAAAGGTTGGTCATCCACGTAAAACAAGAAGACATGATAATGCGGAGGCTCTCAGTGGCCAATCGGTTCAACACTGCAGCTGGAATTGCTCACCAGTTTAGTGCTGAACAGGATAAGGATCTGCCGCAGTATGTTGGCGAGAAGTCTGACTGAAAGCATTCTCTGCAGTGACCAAGCCTCTCATCAGCAGAAAGAATCAAAAGGCTAGGCTCACCTTTGCTGAGGAGCATGTTGTGTGGAGAGAGGAGAACTGGTCCAAAGTTCACTTTTGTGATGAAAGCAAGTTTAATTTATTTGGGTCAGATGGGGAACATTTTGTTTGGCGTCAAACTTGGGAAAGACTGAACCCCAAGTGTGTGAAGAAGGTGGAGGAGGAAGTGTCATCGTTTGGGGGATGTTTTCTGCAGCAGGAGTTGGGCCTCTTATAGAGCTACATGGCAGGGTGAATAGGGGTTATGCGCAACAAACTTCCGTGTTCTGTTAACCTGGTCTCGCCACTTCTGGTTCAAGTGTTTTGCTTGTGCTTCGTTAAATATGAAGCAGTTTTACTCAAGATGCCTTCAAAGTAGATTCCAAAGATTATCATAACCAATGTCCATCACATATGCGGACTGATATCTAAAAGTTTTTATTTTTATTCTCTTCACGAACATTTATATAAAAAAAATTTAATAAAACGTCAACAATAAAAACAGCTAGCTAGTTTAACTGATTATCTTAAGAGTCCATAGATATCGCTATTATTTATTGCGGCTGTTAGCACATTCTCCAACAAGCGGAATCGATGAGACCTGTTTTCCGGGTGACGTTCGACATATACCCTATGCAAATGTTTATCAGAAACGTCTTCAGCAACATGCAGTTCCTTCCCTGCAAGCATCTTCCAATCAAGTCATCGTTACAAAGTCATGAAAGCACTATCGTGGAGTTTTTCTTTTGATATTTGAGCAAATGGGAATGCAAAAAATATATTTGTGGTACTCTCCCATTCACTGCTATTCAAGTTAACCCAACTATGACAACTTCCGCTGCCCGGAAATGTGAAAAAGGTCCATTGCGTGTCCAGGAACGCAGTGGAATATTCTGGTCTACTTTCTCAGGTTTGGTTCCAGTACCATTGCATAAATGCAAAAAAGACTAGTAGACCATATGCCTAACAATAAATATTCAATAACGTGTGTCCACGAAAGAGTTTTCAGCCAGGTGAAAAAATGTCAGACGCTCTTCTTAAAACAACCAGCTGGTGGCGCTTATACGCTTTGGTGGCACAGCGTTTTTTCCAGCTGATACGCTTTAGTTGCTATGATTTTGAATATCCACGGCGGCAACGTATTGGCCTACTAGTATCTCATTTTTAAAAATTGTACTAAATATAAAAAAGCAGTAGGCTAACCAGTGATATTGACTTCTCCATTGTTGTTGGCAGACGTTGTACAAGTAGGATGGATGGTCGCTATTTGTCCCACCCGTCCTCTATTTGCGGCTGGGTAAATAACAAGCGGCAACCTCCTGCTCTCTCTCGTGAAACCAACACGGAAGTGACTAAAACTGCAATTCATCGACTGGCTGCTAGAGGCTGGCTCCAAAATGTAGTCAGTCCCATAGACTCCCCATGTTAGAATTTAATAGAAATATGTGGGGGGGGTGGGGGGGTTATGTATATAATTTTTTTTAATTTAATTTTCTTTTTTTTTCCTTTCCTCTTTTTTCATTCAAAGTACTGCCCACACTCCAGTCCAGTAGGTGGCGGTAAATGCACCTTTAAGTTGGTTTGCCAACCGCCAATAAAATTTAAAGAAGAAAATTTTATGCCGCCTTTGCAGGCATGAACCTTAGTTTGGCATGTACACCTATTTCTATCTAAAAACCATGGTAGGGCTGATCATGAAGTTGGTACAGACTTTATATGGCTTGCAAGAAATACCACAGCTGTTGTATTTTGCATACTTCATGCATAGACTCTTACTTGTCTTGCAACTCATGTCAGGACATGCCTCTTTCTACTCTGAAGAACTTGTGCAATGGGAAGTTGGCATTGAAGTTACAGGTTCTTCATGGTCCCATAGATGGCATTAAATAACCTTTATTTTTAAGAGTGCTGTTATTGTGTTTCCAGCAGTGTTCACCGTGGACTGTTTTGTCAAATAACCTTAGAAGTCTTGATTGTTGTACAAGAGGATTTGCAAAGCTACATGTGAAGGATCTTCTTCAAAATGGTAAAAGGTGTTCATGACTTGGGTGTTGGGAATGTCCAAGGTTTGGTGCACTCCATATGCGTGGCTCTCTTGGATAGTCAATATGTGTATTGATGAGAGGAGGTTAACTTTTGATCTTGTATTAAAGTCATATCATTAAAAAAATTAATTTTTCTCTTGTTTATTTTTTAGAAATATAAGAATTTGACATGTAAAATACTGTAATGTTCACTGCCCAAACCCCCCAAAAAGACAATTTATTGATATTAAAATGCAAAAACGTCATCTGTTCATTTCTAAATGATTTTGATCCATGTTTATGAACTTGCTTGATGTTTAATTTGGGAAGTTAGTTGTAGAAAGCCAGCTGTTCTTGTTGCAGAGGCAGACAGAATTACAACTAGTGGCCTTAATCTCTACTTTGGACCAGTTTCACTGCAGCAAAGAAAAAAAAGGGATTAGCTTCAGTAATGTCTCAGTTTAGCCTTAAATCACCACTTGACAGACCTTCAGCAATTGTCCTGTCCAATAAGGAAACATTGTTCACCCACAAAAAAAATCATCAATCTCACCCTCATATCTCCCCAAGTGAAGATGAGTATATGATGACAATTACAATTTTTGGGTAAACTACTCATTTAAATGATAGTATTCAACATAGTATTCAACCTGGTATATAGTCAGAGCATTGAATTGAAAATATTTGATTCAATTCAATTTTATACTAATCCATTGAGAAAATCCTCTTGCTCCATGTGGGGGTATGTTGGTGTAATCTCCTTTTTGGTTAATCTCGTACTGGCGTGCTAGTGGATTTGAGACAAATAATTTTCCTGATATATGTAGCATATTACATTTTTAGGAACAATTACAACTGGGGTCTGAATGTCCAGTTGATGCAGTTTAAGTTTATAAATTAAACTGCATCAACTGGACTTTACCTTGGATGATTATCAGGTTGACACATTGCTTGTGATTGAAATGAACTGCTATGACCTTGCAATATTCCATGTGGGGGTATGTTGGTGTAATCTCCTTTTTGGTTAATCTCGTACTGGCGTGCTAGTGGATTTGAGACAAATTATTTTCCTGATATATGTAGCATATTACATTTTTAGGAACAATTACAACTGGGGTCTGAATGTCCAGTTGATGCAGTTTAATTTTATAAATTAAACTGCATCAACTGGACTTTACCTTGGATGATTATCAGGTTGACACATTGCTTGTGATTGAAATGAACTGCTATGACCTTGCAATATTTTACAGGGTGAAAACATTTCTGGGGTCTCTCTCTCTCTCTCTCTCACTCAAAAAGGAAAGGAACAATATTTTGCATTATGAAAATGAATCTTGTTTTTAGGACCATAACTATCTATTGCATTGAATTGCAACATTATTTTTTTGATGGAAGTTAAGCACAAAAATACTACCAAGATGTATAAATATACTTTCATAAAAAAAATCCTATAAGAAAATGGTATTATTTTCCTTAATGCAAGCACAACATAAAAATCTTTTGGAAAATTTGCCCACTTTGTCATTTGCCACCTTTTCTTTACACTCTCAAACTGTTCATGCACAAGACAAGACAACTTTTTTTTTTCTACCCTAAACCCTATCTGGGTCATAAAACATCCCATAAATTCCTTCACTTCCTTTTTCTCCTTCTCTTATATCCCAGTCTGTCTGTTTCTCATTTTCCCTCTGAAGCCTTTACACCTTCAGACTCTTCTTTTTCTTTTTCTTTTTCTACTTCATGTCTTTTCACGCCTTTTTTCTTTTTATTCATCCATATTCTTGATTCTCCTCTTTTAAACGCGCGCGCGCGCACACACACACACACACACACACACGGTCTCTCTGGAGAACAGAGGCCTCTGTGTGAGTTGACAGGGGGGGGTTTCAAGGGTTTGGGACAAATTGCTGGCCATTCCAGGGTCCATATATTTGTGAATAATCCACCGCTTTTCTTGGCCCCTGAGGACCATTGTGTCTTTGACGCTTCTCTGAAGCTCAGGTGTGGGGGACGGGCATGCATACATGCCTGTCAAAGCCCTTTATTGGCCACGGACTGCTGGGATGGTACAACTTTCAGGTAGCTGCTAAATCAGACTTGGAGAGTCAAAAACTCATTCTCCCGTTTACCATTTTGAGGATGAGTTTACAGGGAGAAGATATTTGGTCTGGGTTTTCTCAGACTAAAATTCTGTTTGCTGGTCTGCCCCAGTGTGGGAACCAAAAGACTGAATGTTTGTGCGAGTATGTTTGTGTTGTGTGTGTGGTGGAATGTTGTGTTTGTGAGGCTGAGGGTGTGTGGCGTGGGGCCAGCCCACCCTGTGAACAGCAGCTCTTTGTGGACACAGGAAGTGTGTTGGGGGTTGGGGGAGAGGAGGGAGACGTCAGGGTGATCTTCTGTCGGAGGCTGAAGACAGGAGAAAGAAGCCAACTAAACGGTAGCACGCTATCAAAGAGCTGCTTAGAAACTTAACATAGGCTCTGTTCCAACACCTAGTGGGCGGTCTTGCTGTTTGCTGCCTACATAGACAGCATCCTAAGTGGAATGGAATCTGGAAATGTAATGCTGTTCATGGGCAGCTACTACTAAACTAATTTTTGATTATTATATTTGATCACTACTTCTAGGTGTTTAATGATTTTGATTCAATAAAACTGATATTTTCACATTGTTAATTGTTAACAATTTTCAGCTTTTATTCAGCAAGGATGCTTTAAATTTATTCAAAGTGACAGTCAAGGCATTTGTAATGTTACAAAATAATATATTAAATAAATGCTGTTCTTTTGAGCTTTCTTTTTTATCTTAAGAATCCTGGAAAATTGTATCATAGATTCCACAAAAATATTATAACGGTTGATAATAATAAATGTTACTTATTAGAATGATTTCTGAAGGATCATATGACACTGAAAACTGGAGTAATGGCTGCTGAAAATGTGTGCAATCACAGAAATAAATTACATTTTAAAATATATTTTAAACCGAAAACGTTTATTTTAAATGGTAATATTTCATAACACAATTTTTTCCTGTATTTCTGGTCAAATAAATATAGCCTTTTTTGAGCAAAAGTGACTTCTTTAAATAAACATTTAAAAGTCTTACTTATTCACACTTTTGAGCTATAGTGTACATGCTGTTTAGAGAACAAAATATAGTATAATCAGTGATGAACCGTTAGGCTCAGATGGGCTTCTTGTGTATGATATATGATGTATATTGTAAATTAAAATGGGTGCTTTATCAAGATTGCGTCATCAATCTGATTGGTTGTCTTTACACAATTTTCAGGAGTGCAAAAAAGTTATCCAATTTCAAATATCCAGTTTCATGTTTACCCACCCTAAAAGTCACATGGCGTTCATGGTGATTGGTCGCTTTACATGTCAATCAAATGACCACTTGGTGTCTAAATGGGCAGTTCTTGGCCAAAAGAAGCTATGAAAAGCAATGCACATAATCAAAAGTCTGGATGTGTGAGACAACCTGTAGCTTCATAATATTTTCATTGTTTTAATTATATTAGCTTAGCTTATATGGTGGTTTCCCCTGAGTGTATTGTAAGTTTTAGTTGTGCTGTGTTCTGCACAGGCAGTCGGCCTACAGTACAGTATCTGTCCTCGCTGTGCGAGCTGCCCCATGCCCTGCAGTCCTACTACACCCAGGGCTACGTACTGGCCGCCCTGCATCCCATCATCCTCTCAGTGGGCCGGACCCGCTTCCTGCCCTGCAGCCTGCTGTACCGGGCCATTCTGGTCCGCCCACGATCCAGGTAATGTTCACCATGACAAGGACTCCGTACCTCACCTTTGCAGCCCCTATTCTGTACCCCAATACCCCCTGACCAGCTTCTTCCAATAAATAATTAGCTTTTAATGAGTCAGCATGAATATTTAATGAGATTATAGTGGGAGGTCAGACAGTCTAGCTGGAGTGGGCAGGGCTTGTGTGAAGTCATATTGGGGTACTGATGTGGGTTAAATTTAAGTTAAAAGAAGCCCCTGACAACAGTGTAGTTTTCAGCAACCAATGAGAACCTGCAAAGAAGCAGTGGAGGAACAGGACAGGCTCGTTTCGACTATGACACTGTAAATTATTCAAAAGTAAGGTCTGGGACAGTTGTAGTATGTTAATAGTGTTGTAGTGTGAAAAACCTTAAGGTGTGTAATGCCAAGTCCTGTGAATACTATTTGATTGATGTCTGAATCCAGTGAGCATAAGCTTGAATGCACTTTTAAGCAGAGACAATGGAAACCTGCAAAAAGCTGCTTTCTCAGGCATATCCACATTTATTGTTTGCTTGACTTTCTATCTATTAAGATGCCTCCATCTGTTAATGTCTTGAAGGAAAGCAGCATAGAAGTATCTTTACGTCTTGTGATATCCAGCTCTACTATTCTATGGTTGCTTGAAAGAATAAAATACTGTCTCTAATGGACTAGAAATAGACTTGACCAATGTTAATTTAAAAAGGCCAGTTTAATTAATTTCTGCCAAAAAATAAGCTTTGTAGTCATTAAATCTTTGCTTACATCTGAAGCTTGCTTGAATGAGATGTAAATCATGAAATGTGCTGTTTGAAACCAGTTTTCTTTGATGCTGGTTTCTTATTAAACCATTGACCAATGTGGTCAGTTGGGGTCAGAAGGGTTAAACATCTTAGCATTTTTGTACTTTGCTAATGGATGACATGTCAAGAAGAGCAGATGTCAGCTACAATAAAATATGCATCATGTTTTCATGCAGCAAGTTTAAAATGCATTTCCTTAATTGATGTGTGTTTGTTTGTGTTGTGTGGTTGCAGTAAACATGCAGTGCCAGTGATTGAAAGCTTGCCAGTGTTGCGAGTGGAGGAGTGGCCACTACCCGGAGAATCTCTGACCAGTGACACAGTGAAACTGCTCATAGACAGGGTCTGTGTTTTCATTTCAAATACTTTTGTCTGTTGTCCATGTACATTTTTTTTCATGTCATTTAGAGTGTGCAATTTTTTTTTATTTTTTTTTTGGCAGACCAGTTATCAGTTCAGGTTTTTACTAGCTTTGCCAAAATCTTCACTGGCCCCACCACAAAAAGGAACTATGTATATTTATTTTTAAGAGCCATGCATTTTTATATTTACTGGAAATTATATTGACATATTTCATTAAATGTTTAAGTTTGTAAAGTTGCTTTAAAAGAAAATTGGGTAACACTTTACAATAAGATTCAATTAGTTAATGTTAACAATGAGCAATTCTTTGTTGCAGTTTTACATTAAAATACTTTTTTTGTGTGTGGGGCAACTGCATGTCATATTCTTTATGTAGATTACACATGCAATAACATGCATTTAGAAAGTAGATGGGGTGAATTTTCATTATTGACTATAGCGATCAGAGGACTTTCTTTTCAAAAATAAATCTGCATACATTTCTGTTCCTTATAATGGAATGTTTAGATAAACAGTCTCATATCATAACTGTGTGTCTTTTGTGTGTGTGTGCCCTCAGGTGAACAGCTATGCCAGGGGTGGCGTGAGGTTCGTGGGGTCAGTGCTCCAGCAGGCTGGAGGAGGGGGGTGTAACGGTAGAGTGCCCAGTCCCAGGAGGGGCTGCCGTTCCCCGCCCCGCACACCGCCCGGAGACGCAGATCTAGAGGGCCGTGGCTACAGCCCAGGTGAGATGTTCCTCTAATCTCATTATGGACCATCTGTAGTCTAGCTTACTAAACAGTTTTTATAGATTTAAATCCAATACACAGATGGACTATAAATGCTTTGAATCATGAACGATTGGGTTAAACTCACAAAGAACATGTCATATTTCACCCCAGAAGCAAACAGGAAAATTGTATTTGGAATTTTTTTTACTTTACCATGTTGACAAAGAGATCGTTAAAATAATAACTAGACTGTATAATTGTATAAATTTGCTTTTATTTTTTTATTTCATCCTCTTTAGTTTGGTGTCAGTTTAATTTGGTTTAACCCTGTAATATCTTTGTCCTTTGTGGAGCCTTGGCATCTCCTTACCCTCTGGGCATCATACCAACCTCTCGATTCTCCATGGCAACCATTTCGGGGCCACATGGGATATTAAGATCAGTCAAAGGCTGGTAGTGTTTAGGTAGTGTTAGTGTAGGCTGTTTATCTGCCCTGTTACACTTATTAGTTATGGTAGATGGACTGATAGTTTGACCTATTAAAATGGTTTCTAAAGCAATGATCATAGCATGACTTAAAGGGTTAGTTCACCCAAAAATGAAAATTAGCTTGTGTTTTACTCGCCCTCGCAGTATGTGGAAAATAATGTGTTTTTTTTTACTTTAAACCGCATAAACACATTTCATTACACCAAATACACAAAATAATGTTCTTTTTAGCAGCATCATATGACCCCTTTAATGCTTCGTTTTTTTAAAAAACGCATAATTTTTCACATAATTTACCTTTATTCCACACTGCTCTGTCCCTTCTCTGAGAAACACGCTGATAATTTCCTTCTTTTATGAAGCCCCTCCCTCAGAAATAGACGACGGGCTCTGATTGGTTAGCTAGCCCAGTGTGTTGTGATTGGTTCGTGTGTTGAACTGCGGCATGTGCTCCGGTTGTATTGTAAACAGCGTCGTCGTTAATATCGCTTATCAGTTTGAGCCCGATTGAGAAACAGAGGATATTGTTGAAGAGGATCGTGCAGAACCTGTGCAAGCATGGCTTTTAATGGTAGGCCTATGTTTTTTGTTTGTTGTTGTCTCATACTTTTAGATATGCTGTTATTTGTCAATGCTACTGCTTATGTTAGCTTTTAATATACAGTTTTATCCTGATTAAAGCTTTAATACAGTACGGTAACTGCATGCGCGTCCATGTTTAACGCTTCTCATAGCTATGTGAAAATAAGTGTATAATTGTAACCGTTCATTTTCAGAGCTGAGCTGAATGAGAGAGAGATGCAGAGCGTGTGCAGAGCAGGGGGGCGTGAGGAATAGTATTAAGAACCGCTGCTTTAGAACATTGATTTTGAAACTTGTGAATCCATTAGAATCGTTAGAAGACAGAATAGTGATTCATATATGAATAGATTTTTACGTGCACCTCTAGTTTTCTCTTCCTCTTCTCTAAAGCAGCGCAGCATGGCCTCGCCCCTTTGCTGCCTTTTCCCGAGGGTGGGGTTTATCTGGTTCTGTGATGTCACGAACCCGGGAAGTAACTTGTTGTAGTCCCTACCGGCCGTTTTTGTAGGCGTTAAACTGCCAGAATTTTAAAAGAGGATATCTCCGTTTGCATTGAACTTTCAGCTTCGTAACTTTGCAGATATTGTTTATGCTCAAACAGCAACATTACACACTAATTAACATTAAAAAGTGAAATCGCAATGAACCACCCCTTTAAAAAATTGTCCTGGCTATTCCAAGCTCTATCATTGCAGTCAGCGGGTGTTGCAGTTGAACAGTCCACAAGTCGTCAAATAAAGCGCGCACATCCATAGTAAAATGTGCCGCAGACGGCTCCGGGGGGTGAATAAAGGCCCCCTGTAGCGAATCCATGTGTTTTTGTAAGAAAAATATCCATATTTCAAATGTAATAAACACTTTTCTCTCACTTCTGCTGACTGTCATACACTGAAGAATTTCCTTTGGAAGACACAGCACGTCAGCATTGCGTGATTAGTGACGAATGCGGAGAGAGAACAAAACAAAACTCCGGTCACAAATTAGAAGTACAAACCAAGGATTTGCAAAAAAAAATGTCGGAGGATTCCGATATAAGCCAAGAGGAGACTGGTTTTCCTTTGCTAAAGTAAGGAAACTTTGCTTCCTTTTGCTCCTATAAACAAACTCGCAAGACTAGCATATCTCAGAGGCACGCTGCACATACGTGCTGCGTCATCCGCCGGAACGCCGTATGACAGATAACGGAAGTGAGAGAAAAGTGTTTATTACATTTGAAATATGGATATTTTTTTAGGGCTGCACGATAAATCACATGCGATATTTAACGCGCATCTTATCAAGCCGGTTCTGTTATCAGCGATAAATCTCCATTACGTGTGTGCTTTTACATTGAGCAGCATTAACTACACAGAGCCGTTGTTCACTGACGAGCTGCGCAATGTTAAATATCGCATGCGATTTATCGTGCAGCCCTAATATTTTTCTTACAAAAACACATGGTTTCGCTACAGGAGGCCTTTATACACCCCCGGTGCCGTGTGAGGCACGTTTTATGGATGCACGCGCTTTATTTGACGACTTGTGGACTGTTCAACTGCAACACTCGCTGACTGCAATGATAGAGCTTGGAATAGCCAGGACAATTTTTAATATAACTCCGACTGGATTCGTCTGAGCGAAGAAAGTCATATACACCTAGGATGCCTCGAGGGTGAGTAAAACACCAAGCTAATTTTCATTTTTGGGTGAACTAACCCTTTACTGAAATATGCCAAAGATTTTGAGGTTGCACTGATCTGCATTGGTCATACAAAAACGTGTGAGACTCGCTACCGTTTTCAGACCTGAGATTGTTGGTGCTGTTTCACTCCTGGGCTCCGGGCTGTGCTCCGCTGGACTCTCTGGCCTGCTGTTACCACCAGGGGGCGCTGTCCATGCGCGTGTCCAGGAAGGGCCAAGTTGTCAGTGCCCTCGAAGCTGATTGGCTGGAATTGACCGCAGCTTACTACCGCAAGGGCTGGTCATTGGTCGACTCCTTTGTATACTGGGACACACCTAAAGGTAGTTCTCTGACTTATTTTGGACTGTCACAATTCTCTGAGCTGGTTGTTTATCCACCTGACATGTTTGTGTTTGTGAAAGGAAGATGTCAACATCCTCTTTAGCTCTTCCTAAGGAAGACGTTAAGATGATCATATAAGGAGTTACCTGATTGTTTTTACCAATCCAGAAGCCCTGTCATCTGATTTTCTTTGTTGTTTGTTTTTTAAACCAAGTATATCTTTTCATTCTCAAAAGTTATCTTTTTAATCCTCGTCTTTATACATCCTCCACATCTCCCTATCTTTAACCAAAGCCATATTTCCCTTCTCCTGTCTCCCACCACAACTAAATTTAGAGCTCACGTCCCTAACCTCACGACCGTGCTTCCTGTTTCACACCAGACTAATAGGAGCTAAATCAGATGTGTGTGTATGTTTGAGACATCTAGAGCTTGTAAATTTTGAACATGAAAAGCAGTTTACAAAGTAGCTCTATAATCTCGCTCTTCCCATGTCATATGTTCCCATATGTATATGTTTAATATGCGTGTACTGGATATAATGTGTGTGAATGTTAATTTGGTGGTCATTTTGGAATAAGACTTTCAATCGAAAGAAATCTCGTTCTCACCAAGGATACTTTTTTCTTTTTTCTTTTTCAAAATACACTAGAAAAATTAACATTGGGAAATATTATTAAAAATAACTCTTTTCTATTTTAAAATGTCATTCATTCCTGTGATGATAAAGCTGAATTTTCAGCAGTCAATATTCCAGTCTTCAGTGTCACATGATCCTTCAAAAATCATTCAAATATGCTGATTTGGTGCTTAAGAATTTTTTTAAAAATTATTATCAATGTTGAAAACAGTTAAATGTTATTTGTGGATACATGCTTTTTCAGGATTGTTTGATTAATAGAAAGTTCAAAAACAGCATTTAAAAAAAAAATAGAAATCTTACAAATGTCTTTACTGTCGCTTTTGATAAATTTGATGCATCCTTGCTGAATAAAAGTATTATTATTATTTAAATCTTACCTACCCCAAACTTTTGAACATTATTATATGTGTATGTTGTCTACCTGTATATATTATAAAGGATGTATAATTTAATTGCAGAAAAGTTCTCTGTAATATTCGCAGTGTTGGCTCTACAATCTTATTCACTCTTCTTTCATCCTCTCACACATGTTGGTGCACATGGATTTATCTAGCTGTGAAGTAGTTCAGTTTCATTATCTTTTGTAGGTCATTGACTAAGGAAGACGTTAAGATGATCATATAAGGAGTTACCTGATTGTTTTTACCAATCCAGAAGCCCTGTCATCTGATTTTCTTTGTTGTTTGTTTTTTAAACCAAGTATATCTTTTCATTCTCAAAAGTTATCTTTTTAATCCTCGTCTTTATACATCCTCCACATCTCCCTATCTTTAACCAAAGCCATATTTCCCTTCTCCTGTCTCCCACCACAACTAAATTTAGAGCTCACGTCCCTAACCTCACGACCGTGCTTCCTGTTTCACACCAGACTAATAGGAGCTAAATCAGATGTGTGTGTATGTTTGAGACATCTAGAGCTTGTAAATTTTGAACATGAAAAGCAGTTTACAAAGTAGCTCTATAATCTCGCTCTTCCCATGTCATATGTTCCCATATGTATATGTTTAATATGCGTGTACTGGATATAATGTGTGTGAATGTTAATTTGGTGGTCATTTTGGAATAAGACTTTCAATCGAAAGAAATCTCGTTCTCACCAAGGATACTTTTTTCTTTTTTCTTTTTCAAAATACACTAGAAAAATTAACATTGGGAAATATTATTAAAAATAACTCTTTTCTATTTTAAAATGTCATTCATTCCTGTGATGATAAAGCTGAATTTTCAGCAGTCAATATTCCAGTCTTCAGTGTCACATGATCCTTCAAAAATCATTCAAATATGCTGATTTGGTGCTTAAGAATTTTTTTAAAAATTATTATCAATGTTGAAAACAGTTAAATGTTATTTGTGGATACATGCTTTTTCAGGATTCTTTGATTAATAGAAAGTTCAAAAACAGCATTTAAAAAAAAAATAGAAATCTTACAAATGTCTTTACTGTCGCTTTTGATAAATTTGATGCATCCTTGCTGAATAAAAGTATTATTATTATTTAAATCTTACCTACCCCAAACTTTTGAACATTATTATATGTGTATGTTGTCTACCTGTATATATTATAAAGGATGTATAATTTAATTGCAGAAAAGTTCTCTGTAATATTCGCAGTGTTGGCTCTACAATCTTATTCACTCTTCTTTCATCCTCTCACACATGTTGGTGCACATGGATTTATCTAGCTGTGAAGTAGTTCAGTTTCATTATCTTTTGTAGGTCATTGACATACTTCCAGCACTGACTAAATAAGAGCTACACATTTTGTCTCAGTGGTTCAGTGGGTCACTTTTAACATTCAGATCTGAATAATGATAAATGGAAATCTTCAATAATACTCATGCTCCAGGTTAGGCATTTGAAGGATTAAATGAACATCCAGACATAACGATGTAAAAATCTAGCTGTGAATTGTCATTTACTAGTTCCTACAGTATGATGTAGACGTATAATGGTTGTTTTTACAGGTGAGCCAGTGCCCAGGTCTCTAGAGGGGCTGTTTGTCTATGAGGAGAAAAGCATAGCGCCCCCTGCAAATGACACTATTGTAGTGGAACAGTGGACCGTTATAGAGGTGTGACTGCATGTATGAAATGCCTAAAAGGTGTCAAATTATCACATGAAGGAAGTTAAGTGTGTGCCATTTTATGTTGTCTTTAATGATTTCCTGTTTGTGTCACAGGGTTCAGATGTAAAGACAGACTATGGTCCTCTGCTCCACACATTAGCAGAATTCGGCTGGCTGCTCACGTGTGTGCTGCCCACCCCAATTATTCGCCATGACAGGTGGGACCCTCACAGTACAAGCCATATAATCATGTTTCTTTACACCCCATCACCGTATTTGTCTTTTCCTGCAGCGAAGGGAATCTCGCCACCAAGCAAGTTGTCTTCCTGCAAAGACCCGCCAAAGGCCAAACGGTACCACAGCACAACCAGGTGCCTGTTTGCTAATGTCATTTTAAACAATTACATTTGTAAATCTGTTGCTTTACTTGTAATTTAGTCTATCAGGCATATTTCAAGGACACCATTTTCTATTTGCAGTCCCTTTTTTTGAGGAAGACCAACTTTTAAAGTGATAGTTCAACCAAAATTTTTACAATTTTGAACAACCACTCACAAACATTTGTTATTTTAGTATTATATTCATATATACATTTATTGTATTTATTCGTATTTTGATTTGGCTTTTATTTGTATATTTTCAGTTTTTATTTTATTACTTCAGTGATTTTGTTGTGCTTTTAGTTTTTTTTAATTGCTTTTTAGTGTTAATTCATTTTTATTTCTATTTTAGTTTAGTTTAAGCTTTAGTCATTTTAGTGCTTTAGTAGCTTGTTTCAGTTAGTTAACAGAAAGGTTATCATCATCAGCTAAAACAATATCATTACTTGAAACAAATTAAATATTAACTAAAATAAAATATTAAGCCATTTTATTTCAGCTAGTTGCCAAGGCAACTCTTCTGATTATCATTCAGTTGACCATGAATTATTAACATAACTAAAACTAATAAATACAAATAAAAAGACATTAGATTTTCTAATATTTATATTTTATTTTAGCTTTATTAAAAATTAATAATTTTTAAAATTTCAGTTAAATGTGACATATCATGAAAATCTGACGTTTTCACCCAGGAAACGTGAAAAAGATTAACCCAGTAACTTTGTTTTGGGAAGCCTTTTTCTGCAAGTGTCTGAAAAGACGAGCGCGTCAGATTTCACTCCCTCTGTGACGTGGCAAAGGGATCTTATTATAATATCACCGCCCCTTAATATGCACATTTCCACTCACGGCGCCACACTTTTCGCAAGCCACAACGGTGTACCAGTTCTAACGTCATGGCAGAAACTAAGCATGCTCCTAACTGTTCTATTGTTAGCTGCACAGACGAGCACAGAACACTATTTAGAGTACCAACCTCAGAGGAGACAAGACAGCAGTGGATTTATTTATTTACTGTTTATTACGCTGCTGCCACACAGATCTAAAATAAACCTGAGATTTATTTCCCAGCTGTTTACCTTCACAGACATAACCGACTGTTTTTGTAACTCGTGTGTTTTTAACAATTTTTTTGTATTTGACAGTTTAAGCGCAATAAGACATGAAAGAGAGCTTAGTTTAGTACTTGCATGCTATGACAGCCGCTTTCTGTGCGCGTGCTTCGGATGTGTGCGCTCAGAAAACCCTATATCAGAAGTTTAAACTGATATGGCTTTAAAACGCATGATTTCAGCGCGATAGACAATCAAAACTAAACAGATGTTTTTTTTTATCAGAGTATCTGACTTAAAAGCTGTAAAGGAACAGCCCTATTCTGGAAAAGGGGGCGGGGAGCATCAGCTCATTTGCATTTAAAGATACATGCACGAAAACAGTGTTTCTGCTTCCTCTCAAAATAGGCATTTTCAAAATGAGATAATAAATGATCTGTGGGGTATTTTGAGTTGAAACTTCACAGACACATTCTGGGGACACCTGACACTTATATTACATATTGTAGAAAGGGGCATAATAGGTCACCTTTAACAATATTTTTTTATGAATAAAAAAAACAATCATACAAGGACATTAAAATCTTTTAATCCATTTGTTCTCTAAAATTTACCAAAAATTGCAGTATTGACAGATTTTGACATTATTTTGCATCTCAACCCTCTTGTTTTTGTTCCTCAAGGGATCTACGCGGCGAGAGGTATGTAGTCACTCTGTGAGTCGGGGCGTGGATGAACCGCACACAGAGCTGTCGTCTCCATGTTCCGGGGGAATCGGCGGTTTCCCTGTGTTTGGAGGGGGGTATTCCAGTGTGCTGTCCCATTTAGATGAGGGAGGATTTGAGCCGGACGACGGGGCTGCAGAAGTCACCTGTATGTGATGGACCAACTCAAAGATGCAATTTCTTTCAAGTTCTGTCAGAAATCTTTGGCGGTTGAGAGTGGCAGCTGCCCTAGAATTTACCACATCACCAGACCACAAGAGATTTGTGTTCCTGTATTAGAAACAGACTCATAGCACTTTTAACGTTTTGTAAATAATTTAACAAGCCATAACGTATCAGAGGCCGGTTTTATTTACTCATTTATTTTTAATTGAAAGCACAAAGTTTATGTGCAATGATACTTTGACAAAGTATCAAAAATAGCACTGAAATTCAGTTATTTACATCAACAGCATTTCACAGCACTCACACAATACCACATGTCCAGTTCACATCACATTTGTCAAGCTCCAACACTCTTTTTTTCCTAATCACTGTGAGTGTCCTTCCTCACTGTTCATTTTTTGCTATTCTTTTTTACTCCAAACCAGCTGACAATTCAGTTTTGTTCACCTGCAACAGTTCAACGTAACGAACTCAGGAACTGAGTGTCCAAACAGCCCTTCTGCAGGACGCAAACGTTTACTTGGTGTGCAGATTTGCAACATGCTTACATTTTCTTGCAGAAACTTTCCAGGCCTAAGAGTGAAAACATCAGGAACGCTGCATTTAGCTTGAGATGCTTTTTGTGTTTGAGGGAAAATGCATATGCACTGTAAACCTACAGAGCTTCAGGCTGGAATCCATGAACTAGCCTGTACTAAATGCTGAATTTGATGCTGTAGTCTGGTTTATCTGATATGTGCCGTGAGCTCAAGTGGTGCTAGAGCTTGAAATTTCATCGTTACCCAAAAGGGAAAAGTAATAACACTATGATTTGCATGTTAAGTGGCAGCATTTCAGTTCAATAACTGCTATGGGACTATGAGCAGGGTACTTCCTTTTGTTTAGTATAAACTGACTAGTTCTTCCCAGCTAGGTGGTCAAATTCGATTTATCTGGCTGGATTTTTCAAACTGAGCTGCAGTGGTGCTGCTTTTGCCACCTTAGAATTCTTGTAGAATTTTAACCATGTTAAGGGTTGTATTTTTCACGTCTTATGTTGCCTTGACCATGTTTATCCCTCTTTGAGGAATGGCAGAATAGAATAAGCACATTTTAGTTCACAAAACAGACTATCAAGCTGCTGTAAATGTTAAAGCCATGGTGAAACTAATGAGATGTTCCTTCAATCCCAGAAGCTGAGCTCAAGATATTTAACATCTAATATGCAAGAACTGATCAGTATTATTTACCAACTGTAGTATTTGAACATGTTTCAGGCTGTTTTTGTAATGTTTTATTAAATGGGTATTTACCTCATATCAAAGTGGCTGTTTGTGTTGTCGCTTAGCAGTTGACCATGGCATAAAAAACTAATGAATAAGCGTAGACTAGGTACAAGTCTTTTATTAACAATTGACAATGAAAATACCATACATTTTAGTTAAAAAAAACAAACAAAAAAAAGGACAAAGCGAACTGGATAAGAGCCCTTCACCCATGTAATAACTTAACGAGGGAAAAGACGGTGAATATCACCAGACTCATTTATAGTCTAGTGAGGGGAAAAAATAAAGGAAATTTTTACTGGTTAAGCAGGATTTACAATAGAGATGGAGTGAGATATGTACAAGGAGCTGTCGATGTAGCATTTTGATTGTTACAGCTGAATGATGAAATTTGGATCAAACGAAGTATTAGTGAGTGGAAAAGTAGCATATGTCAAATGACTAAAGTTGTATGCCTCTGCTGTCTGGATGCTAGAGGCTCAAAATGCACGAGATGCAGCTCAGGCGTCACTCTCCCCAGCAGTGGCACTCTGGACTTCCTCTTCCAGGATTGGCACAATGAGGTTGTCCTTAGACATGAGGTTGTACTTCATCACGAAACGAGTGAAGCGGTGACACAAGAAAGTCTCATTCTGTGGGAAAGAGATGATCTTTTCATAAAGTGTCTATTTGACGCTGTTCTCACTGTCCTTTTTAGGAAACTGTCTTAAGATGCCTCCTACTGACCACAGCAGGAAATGCTGTTTGAATAAACAGTAGTTGCTTCGTCATCACCACTGTCATTTATCAAGCTTAACATTCACTTGAAATTAAGTAATGACTCCAAAAACTCTGAGCTGCTTTCAAAGATGGGTAGCAATTCCTGATTGCAATTGCTTTAAGCAGAAAAATACAGCACAAAAATATTTGGTAAAATAGTTTTTTTACCAAATAATTTTCATGACTGAAGTGTTTTCCTACTTTTCAAGAGGTTCAGGATTGTGAAATGATGCCTAAATAGGCAGGACAATAACTTGACAATAGGCAGTGCAGTAGAAGCAAAGCCGATACTCCGTTTTATGAAATGTGCTTATGAATTACATAGTATATTTACAAAAACAGCATGTAATTACATCTATATTTAGACTGTTGAATATGAACATACATAATATATTTTGCATACCCCTTAACCTAACCATGCCACAAAACCGCATCCCAGCTCAACAGCAGCAAAAGCATTTTGCAATACAACTTTAACACGAAGTACTTTACTTTCAAAAAGGAAAATAAATCCTATTATGACCAATTAAATTGAACAGGATATTCAGCTAAAACCCTCCATTTGGGAATCATTCGTTTTCTCGGCTAACTGCTAGCTTAGCTCTTTAGCATTTCTGCGGCTTCCGCTCGCAGGAGAACAAATCTTTTTTTAAAATGTAATTTGCCATTAGAATATTCTCTACGAACATATTAAGTGAGATTGAGTTTAGAGAACGCTTTTAAGTGTTACTCGTTGTTCATTTTACCTTCGCCTTAGTGCCTGGTCTATTCCTCCTCAGAACAGCTGTGCCCTCCGCCATGACCATCTCGACAGATTTAGTTTGATTGACAGCGCGCCCCCAATGGACGAGTAGAGCTACTACAGGAAGAACTCCGATACAGTGACCAAATATTGGACAACAAATGAAGTCACAATTAACATGTATTAATATCATTGTATTACTGTATTTAAACTGTTTTAACTGACCTGGGGCCTGTTGTATTAACAGCCATTATGTTGATACTTAAGACGAACTAGTCTGACCGACTAGCGGGCTAATCAGTCTCACTTTTATTCTCAAATTTGAATCAAAGATGTTATGCAACTGATAAAACAAACAAACAAAAACGGATGACTGTAATAAGCTGTTTATGTAGTTGGCCCCTGACCTGTGGGGAAACTCCAGGTGGCATCTCAAATGGCTTTCACTCCTTCCATCTAGCCACTCCAAAAAAAAAACCTGACTAATGGAGTTCTGCAGGGATTATTAGCCATGAAGTTTATTTTTTAAAGGACTCAAGGACATTCTTGTACAAACACAAAGCCTTGGGTCCATTCATATTTATTTCTATTCCTACTCCTAAATTATCAGACTGTCACTGTGTCACTTTAGCTATGATTTGGAAAGCACATTTAATCCTAAATGATCCAGATCACCCACTCCATCTGTATTTGAGCCCATTTTCTTCTGGCCGAAGGTATAATTACCGATGTGCAGGAAGACTAACTACAGTAAAAGTTTTGTTCCTATAGCTATACGTGCCTTAAACACAGGAAATCAGCCATCATCTTACACTCTTGCATTTGTTGTGATTTTTTTATTGTATTGTGATAAGTTCATATGTACTGTGCAGTTGTCTTTGTGTTAGATATGTACCCACTGTGAAAATGAATTTCATCTCGGAAGACAAATCAATGATCTATTCTATGCATTTTTTTTATTTAAATGATAGCCACAGTAATCCAAAATTCATAGAGTGTGCTACCAAATATTTGTTTCTTTCTTACATATATTCATTAATAATACTGTAGATATGCACCTACTGATTATTCTAAATCACGTCAAATAAGAAAAAGCCTCTTTTTTACATTTTAATCTTTTTTAATGAATAAAAATGTCATGGCAGTTGAAAAACACTTTTATTATATAATTGTGATAAAAAGGTCTAGGAGTTCGGTTACTTTTAGAAGGCACTGTACAATAATTATTTTAGTTATACCTTCTGATCACATCCTGCAGCACATATTCATAACTCAAAGGAAATTATTCAGGGAATAAAAAGTTCTGTAAAACGCATTAATTTTCAACCCCTATAATTAGTTCACTAATTACTTTATAATCACAATAAAATAAAAAATCCATTATAAACTTCTAGAAAGTTAGAATTAAAGAACAATTCATACTTGACCAAACACGAAAACGAGCCGTTCATGAATATGGAATATAAAGTAATTGCAATTCATTTTGTGTGTATCCTAATCCACACAATTTAGAGTCCATTTCCATGTTTCAGCATTCACGTGTTCAATTTCAAACTGTTCCATGAAGCAAGATGAAACATCAACATCACTTTATTTTAAACAAAACTTGATCATACTTATTTACAATTGAGTGACATAGAAAAAAAAAAGAAAACAGACATGGAACAACCATTCTCTCTATGAACTCCAGATTGACACAGATGGTTGTGGAACAAGCAGACTTCATTCTACATATTTACCAAGAATATCTCCATCCCGGAACAGGAAATAGTCCTACAAAAGAAAATAAAAATATAAGAATGGTCATTGTAAAATCAAGTCAATATTATACAAATTATAAAAAATTACTTTGGTTACATGTTTTATATAGACCTTATATATATATTTAATATGGTGTCTAACCTGACTAAGGTCTATAATAAAATGCCAAGAGCTATAAAATGGGCTAAATAATGGATACATATTAATTTATACAAAGAAGTACATAATGAAAAAGTAAAAACAAATCGATCATTTGATGATCTAATCATGGCAAAACGTTCTAACCTTATCATCAAGAATAACTTTAGTTCCTCCATACTCCGGCAGCAGAACTTTATCCCCAACATTGACACAGACAGGTGTTACTTTCCCATCCTAAAAAACAGACAGCATTTAAACTCTGAGGTACAGCCTCTATCTCACACACTGTAAAGAAATGCTTAAATCAGAAAGTGTAAAAAAAAGCTACCTTGTTGGTGGATCCAGGACCCACGGCTAACACTGTAGCCTGCAGCACTTTGGCTTGAGACTTCTCTGGAATCATGATGCCTCCTTTTGTCACAGTCTCTGCAGCTAGCCGCTCTACCAACACGCGGTCGAACATGGGAAGAAATTTCCGGAAAGCCTGCTTTGGGGCAAAGGCATGCTTAGTACAGTGTAGAAATAATCAATGCATGTTTTGCAACACTACAAAGCAGCGTTCCAAAGATTTACCACTAGAGAGCATTACAGACTAGCAAAGAGTCTTCCTTCTCCTCTTCAGTTTTTGCTAAATTGTCAATCTATGATCAAAAGTGTTAAAATAATATGAATCAAAAACTATTTTGGATACATTTACTTTAAAAAAAGCAGGCCTCCACGTAATGCTTTTCTAAAATGCACTACTATACGTTCTTGACTTCAGTTGACTTCTTAAAATCTTTGGTTTACCTTCTACACA